TGTAACAATGACAGTGTTCTTAACTCCTCATCCAATACTCAACAAAAATCAATAAGAGACAAATCTTCATAATACCAGCTCTAAATATTTGAGATAAGTTTGATGGTGTTGTTTTTTTTCTCTTTCCAAAATTAAAACTAGAAACAATCAGCACACAACCCACATGGTGGAGGGACATCATGAGATGGCTTGGATGTGCAATAATGATTAAATTTTTTTTTCCTTGTGAGCCAATTTGGAATTTATGTTTTTTATCTGTGATGTTGAATGTTATATTAAAGAGGAAATTGATGTTACTGATGATGATGATCGTGATGCCAAGTTTGCTGTGTTAGTGATGTATTAACGTGTTCATAATTTTTGTGGTAATTTTGAAGATCAATAACTTTTTTGGCATTTTGTGTCAATAATAGAATGTTGATATTGACAAAATGTCAAAATCATGCCTAATAATTAATGCTAATGTTGTTGACATTAAATACACATGATAAGTTATTGATATATAAAGTTAATTAAACAATAGTTGATTGTTTTTTATTGTTGGTCCTTAAGTTTTTTATATGATATGCATGATATTATATTTCATTTTGTGATCGTTTTAGGTGTTTGACTGCATATTTTATATTAATAGTTTATAAAAGGAAACATCATGTCCATGGCATGTTGTCTCTTATTTTACAGTTATGACTTGTCCCCATAGTCATGTCATGCCATGTTGTATCTTGTGTTTGTTTTCGTGCTTCATAGCTAATGGATTATTGAACTTCACCTTACTTTTTCAAGTCCTTGCCGGATGGAGTAATCTTCATCAATGGGTTAATGAAAAAAAAATGGAAGTTAGCTGCGCTGCCTTTTTGATACTCAATATATCTGGATATGCATTATGCTTTCTATTGCAGATTAAATGTTATGATGATTTTAAAACCACCTTAAAATCAAAATTGTGTTGCATGTTTGTCTATCTTTCTCTCTTTCCCTTCCACCAACACAATGCAACTACCTTTAGTTTTTCATTACGAGTCTATTTTGTGTTTGTCTTTATTAGAGTTTTTAATGTTAGGCTTAGTTTGGTCTTCTCTATTTGCTTAATTGTGGATTTATAATCTGGCAATGACCTTTCTTTTCTAACAATAGTGTTTAGTGTTTTATAATCTACAATAGAGTTGAAGATGATTTGAAATATAGTTGTTTTGGTTTCTCGATGTAGACAATTGCAAACTAATGTAGGATGTATGCAAAAAGTTTTTGAGAATGCATTAGTAACTGTAAAACTTTGATGGTTAAACAAAGTCACACTTCAATAAGCCATTAAAAGTTTAAATCCAATTGATTCGTAGTGCTAGTTCAGACAACAATGAGGTTGATTTTCAAATACTTAAACAAGAGTAACATTAACTTAGCATGACTTCTTAAATTTATGGTTGCGAATAGGAAATAAAAAGTTTAGGCAAGTATCTAACCTCTAAGGGAGCAATACTGGTATAGGTAGAGCAAGGGATAACTTAAGTCAAACCTCAACAAACACTCTTTTTTGCATGATTTTTTTTCTTCCTTTTGAAGTTATTCTCTAAGGGTTGTGAATTCACACGCTGAATAAATCCTCTTGAGGTGAAAAGCACATAAAGAGTGGACTTCTTAAAAGTTAAAGATGAACCCCCTCTCTCTTTCTTTCTTTCTAGGGATTCTCCTTTTGTTCTTTCTCTCTCCAAGATGCTCATTCATCAATTTCCTCAATCACCTTCTTCTCTCCACCTCTAATTCTCCTCCTATATTGGATTCATCTATTTCGTTACCCTACTCTACTTCATATCATCCCCTTTTGTATTCCTCTTAAGGAAGCACTTGATTGTGAGTAATAGTGGAATGATTAACAAAGAGAAAACTTGAGAAAAATTGAAGTTTTGATTGGGGCAGAAAATCAGAAAAAGAACAGGTGTGTTTATGAGGATGGTATACTTATTGATCAATTTGAAATTACTTATCTGCCCTTGAAAAGTATTTATCCAACCATTGTTCAATATATTTGATATTTGATAAGACACCAAAACTTAAACTTAAGAATGAACAGATGGCATAGCCAACGGACTTTAGTTGATGTTTTTTAGTACAACTTAGGTGAGTAGCTATACAAGAGCTTCTTTTTTTTTTTAAAGAACAAGAACAGCAACAAAAGTTTTCTTCAACAAAAAAAGAAATTACAGATTGTTACTGCAAAAATTTACAACAGCGTAGCGTCTGCAACCTCAGCTTCAACAACTAGACCAATCATCATCATCACACACACACAAACACATAGGTAGATAGAGCTAGAGAAAGAGTCAGAGAGAGAAGCATGCGACTGAAAGGGGCGGAACCTTCAAGGACTTCTCAAGCAGAGAAGATTCCAAAGAGCATATCATGGCCCGCTTTCTCGGTTCCTCCAGATGAGATCTCAACCTTCCTCTCCTCGATTCCGCGCATCAGACCGTTCCAAAGCTCCCTTTCCCTCCTCTCTACGTCTCTCTGCCTGAAACTCCCGCCGCCATCGACGATGCCTCCGGCGAGTTGGCGGGCTGATTTCTCCCACCGTCGCCTGACGACGGTGGGCCACCGTCGCCTGACGACGGTGGGAGAAATCAATTAAAGTCTCTTGATAAGACACCTAAACTAAAACTTAAGGATGAACTATATGACACAATCAAGAGACTTTAATTGATTATTTTTAGGGAAACTTATCAAGTGTGTAACTATATAAAAGCTTAGGTTGAGTTTTGCATATTTTGTTATTTCTGGTTTGTCATGTTACCCAAGATTGTAAATGCTAGTTTTTCTTTCCTAACAGACATTTATTTAGATTAACTAGTTGAAAGAATGCTGAAAGGTTTGTTAAGAGCACTCTTACTGTTTTCATAAATATCATTTGAAATTCGTTTTCTGAAAACCATGTGGGTAAGACTGTGTTTTTCTGTTTTGGAATTCTGGCGTTGTTTTGTGAGGTGAAAATGCATAGTTCGCATTATTTTCTGTTTATTGTTTCCCCACATGGATGTTGCAGTAACTAGTGATGAACTTTCTCTAAAAGAAGTCATTCATGCTTATCTATGCTTATGCATTTGTAAACTCTTCTTTCAAGGACAGGGAAAACACTACTAGCGAAAACATTGGCACGATTTGTGAATGTACCTTTTGTCATTGCTGATGCCACAACCCTCACTCAGGCAAGTTTTCTTTGTACTATAAGATTTAGCTTTCATGAAATCTCTACATTTATTTCTTTATAAGTTCGATATAAAATTGTTCATTGATGAGAATATTCTTTCATCATCATATGATGATATTTTTGTTCTTAGGTGCATATATGTTGTCTGCTTCAGGATATTTTATTCTATCTTGTTCTAATTGACGATGTAGGTTTTTCTATCTGTTATATTTGCTTTTGTCTACAGCATTAGTTGGAAGTCAATTATGTTTTGACACAGAGACGACCTAAGAAAAAATAAACATTTGAACTAACCACACCCATGTAAAGCACTTGCTAAATGATGAGGTTCTTAAACAGGTTTTCTGGACTACTATTTCATATTTGGGTTCTATCAGGTATATGTGCTAGTAATCCTGTTGAATTGGGTTATAATTAGGTCATAGTTTTTTAATGGTCATGATTAGTTTGGCTGGATGAATTAAAGGCAATCAACAAAAATTACCCAAAGATCAGAAAAATACATAGCACAAAATAAAATATCAAATGGAACAAGCTCGATTGGCCTGTCTAGCTTGAAGCTTGATGAAAATAGGAGAGGCAATCAATTTTGTTCTTATTGTGATCCCATCTAGTGAAAAAGACATGAACCCTCATATCCACTAACGCATCATAACTCAGAATGCTCCCATCAAAATCAGAAGGATTCAGTAAATCTTGATCTTCTGTATCTTCACTGGTAGGAGGGAGTAGAGCTTCCAGAGCACGAGGATCAATATTTATGTTATTTGAAATAGGTGTCGATGATGAAACTAAAGAATTAGCAGGGTGCAGGCACAGCAGGTGCATCTTCCAAACAATCGAGGATCATCCTTCCACAATCACAAATTAGAAAATAGGGTTAGCATTTACTTTGATATTTTATAGAAGATAGAAGAAGCATGTGATAAACATTTCCTAAGCTAATTTCTGCATTTTATATAGTAGTCCTGAAATTTCTAGGTTTTATTTTTTTCAACACAAATAAATTTTTTTTTTAATTTCTTTCAATAACGGTTTCTTAATGTTATGATATTCATAGGAACACAATTCACGTAAAGCTTAAGCGATTCATTCCAGATCTGACCTAAAGTTATTGGTGAGGTGAGAATAATCTAATAGAAGGTGATAGAAATATTATGAGATTTACTTAATTTAAGGGTTCTTTTAAGGGATTCTTTAAGCAAAAAAACTAGAAAAGTGATCCGTGTAGCCGACCCCATGTAGTGGGATAAAGACTTGATGTTGTTGTTCTTGTTATTACCTGTATTGTACTTCTATCGTTAACTTGTCATAAAGTTGTGCTTAGAAAAAAAGGACAATCCTTGATCCCAAAAAATCCAATGGTTTCTTAAGCCAATTGTGATGGGGACGACCCAAGGCCTTGAGGAAGAATCTGCAATGGTGGTGAGAGAGCTCAAGGATTAGAAAGCAATTACGAGAGATCGAGGAAAGATCTTGATTTGTGATGAGAAGGATTGTTATGGTTTCTGCAACATGTTGGTGATAGTCAGAGAAGAGAGGCTAAGTGTACAAGCAGATTAACTCACGCATGATAGGTTTAAGAGGTTTGCTTATTCAAGCTAGTTTTGTGAGACAAGCTTATCGGTGCATTCCATAAAATGCTTTCAAACATTTAAATTTGTTCATTTAAGCTTATAACGGGCCAGCCTGGGTTCATTTGCATCCTGATCCAATACATTTCTATTTGGGATATTGACTTAATCAACCTCATATGAAGGTCCACAATTGAGCATTTTTTTAAGATTTTTTGATCAATGCAACCTTGAACAAATCTTTCATATAATACCTAACTTGACTGAACCCCTTTACAAATTGGTATACTTTCTAAGAGGTTGTGGCAAGTGATTCCTGAACACCCCACCCATCGTGTGAATATTTTACAAATTTTCATTTGAATCAATATTAATCCCGAGAAATAACGAAGAGTCTAAAACTTATCAATGATGCGAACAGTGGAGATCTGAGGTTTAATGCTATTTAAATAGATCAAATCGTATGATTACTTTATATGTCAGTTGATATTTGTCTGTTGGCCCAGGCTGTATGTTTTGTTAAGTAGCATGTGAGGAGCAATTCAATTGTACTTCCGTTCACTCATCTCTTAGAAGCCGAATAATCAAAAACACATTGTTTTACACTTAAAGTTACATAAAGATGACCATTGGATTTCTTGCATTTCAATCATACTGGTTGTGCAACTTTTGGTTAAAATATTTGTTGACCTGTGGGCTAGAGCCAATAGAAACAAACAAAAGAAATAAAAAAATGCATAATCATTACATCTGCCGGATATCCTGGCAAAACAATCGCGAATCCCGCTTTGCTACAGTCGCCCATCCCTCTGCAACGCGCTGCTGCAGTCGCTTCACCCACGCTCTCCTCGATCAAGCCTCCCTCAGCATCGTAATGATGCGAACAGTGGAGATCTGAGGTTTAATGCTATTTAAATAGATCAAATCGTATGATTACTTTATATGTCAGTTGATATTTGTCTGTTGGCCCAGGCTGTATGTTTTGTTAAGTAGCATGTGAGGAGCAATTCAATTGTACTTCCGTTCACTCATCTCTTAGAAGCCGAATAATCAAAAACACATTGTTTTACACTTAAAGTTACATAAAGATGACCATTGGATTTCTTGCATTTCAATCATACTGGTTGTGCAACTTTTGGTTAAAATATTATAAAGTCTTTTTCCATTACTGACATAATCTAGTGTTTTTTTAGTCCGGTTATGATGTTTTATGAAAACTTTTGGAATTTAGTATTCCTAAATACCCAACTTCCTCTATGAAATGTTTTAATTTGGTGGAGTTGTGTTTGACTTGTGCAGGCAGGATATGTTGGCGAAGATGTGGAGTCCATACTATACAAGCTTCTTATGGTATTTGCTTATTTTTTTTTGGAATCTTACATGCCATACTTTTTTATTCCTGCATATGTGATATGAGAAATGTGATTTTTTTTTTTTAATGTAATTGGCAAATGCAGAAGTAACTAATTTCTTTGTTTATCCGATTGACATATTGCTGAGCACAACCCAATTCGAATGACAATTTAATGGCATTAAAGTCTTTTTTTGTAGGATAATTTAAGGGTCTCATCATGTCACACCCCATGCCGACCACACTCATAATAGGCGACACAGGGCGTAATAGAGAAAAAATTGTAAATTACTTTACATTACAATTCATAATTCATTAAGATGTAAAATATTTTAAAAAATATATTAAATTCTTCAATCATAAGGCATAAGCAGAAGCTGTCCAAAATTTTAATCTTCAGAACAACTATAAGAAAATCAAAACATGTAACTATTAATAAAGTACTAACCTCAATTTAGACTTCTTTATATTGACAAACATAATTATAAAATAAAATTTGAACTTAATACTATTCTGGCTTAATCTTATCCTTCGCCTTTTCTATAATAACAGTTAGAATAATAGTTTGGTGAGCTACAAGGGTTATAAAGATATGCAACTTTAATATAATAATCAAGAGTAAGAAAGAACTAATAAACCTGAGCATCAACATACAAATCAACATGTACATATAAGAAGCGTATGTAAGTAACCTATGTTTATAATAATCGTAATAGAGAATATGCAAGGCATTTATCAAATATAATGTAGCATGTAAGAACTATGATTATCTGAATTACACATTTAATTACATGCCATGTAATATCAATAGCATCATTTTAAACCAATTGCATTTGTATATGATATGTAATCATACAATCACAATATGTAATCATAGTTATATATTTTTGTTTATTTCATAATTTTCATTTCCAGTCTTAGAAGGTGTCATGTCTAATTGTCTAGGTGTAGGTCTACAACCTATAGGCTCCTGATATCGCATTGCCTCTATGGCCCATAAGTTCCATAACTCGTAGTTCTTATAGCCCATAGGCTTCATATCATATCATAGCCCGTGTGCTTCATCATACTAAAGTCACACTACCTCTATTGAGTAGCACTGTCCCCACCTACCTATCATCTAACATGACAAATTCTCAGGATTATTTAGTCATTGTTGTTTCCTTTCCTTTTACAATAACTTGCTATATGTTACTTGTTTATATAAATATATACATGCATGTAGATTAGTAGAAGGTAATGTGTATCAGTACATAAGTAGGTATAACTATATAAATCTCAAGTTACAATTCACAATAAAATAGAATTATATATGACACCAAAATGTAATAAAATATATATGCAGCACACGTCAGGCTCAAGCTAATTACAAATACATTCAAGATAGAGATCACACATAACTTATTAAAAATACATATATACAAACTATTCATAATTAGACTCATTGTATTAATAAAATTGCATATCTTATTTTCTCGACACATTGCTTCTAAAATTCGGCCACCACGAACTCGTCTAGGTCTATATTACTTTATCTGTATTATCCCAAATTTCTTAATATAACATTTTCTACAAATTTCAACTCACACCAATTGAAGTTTTTAAAGTCATTCCCAATATAACATACCTCATCAATTCCTCACTTCAAACATTGCTACAATTCTGGAATTTCCCCTCCCTACATACTATGGGATTCCTAAATAACCATTAAATACATTTACATTAAAACTTTACTCAAAACAATTATTTACATTTTCTTTCCACTTTTCCCGCTTCCTTTTGTTCTTTTTCTTCTTCCTTTCTCTTTCCTTTTCTTCTTTCATTTTTTAATCTCTGATTTCCTTTTCTTCTTTCCTTTTCTGATTTCCCTTTGCCTGCACCTGACACCAGCTTGTGATCAGCCCGACAGCGTCTACTCTGACTCCACCTGGGCAAAACACTCTAAATCGAGAGCTAATAGAGAGGAATTGATTTCAGCTGGAAAGAACTACGGATTACATAGCGTAAATTTAAAACTTTCCATATTGTCCTTCCAATCCACCACCGCATGCCAAGATATATTTTAGCCCCTGCTACAATGAAATTAATATTTAAACAATAATCTCATTTCTTTTTCTTAGGAAAAAAATGCAAATGGGATTTAATTCCATAATTTTCAATCCTTTACAATTCGACATAGTTATATATGTTGAATTACTCCATCTGACGTGTAGATTATAATGACATTAAATTTGTGGAATTTTGTGGAAGTTGGGATTATGGGTATTTTAAATTGCTCCAAACGGGCACATTCCTGATCAAATTCGAGTTTTAAGCATCAACTATGTATCCATGCAAATTAGGAGTAGTTTGAATAAATGATGAAAACATATTATTTCATATTATTTCAGTATGAAATATGTGGTGAATATCCAACAAGAAATGGTGTAAATGTGTGCTGAAATGAGATTTCTATGGACGCCCTAGTTCATTTAAGTTTTTGGATTTGTGGTGAATGTAATGTCTGAATCATAGTTCACATGTCTTTGTGGTGGAAGTGCTCATGTTACATAGTTTAGAATAGTATTTTCAAAGCACTAAGTGCAAGGTAATGCGCACATATTTCTTTTTTCTGGAGGCCCTTTTGCTAACTTAAACATTCATGAGTTTTATATCATGTATGCATATATTATGTGTACAAAATAGTTATTTCGTTCATTGTTTAAAATTGCACAATATGAGGCTCGCCTTGAGGCCCATATTCCATTGAAAAATGCTTCAAGGCTCACGCCTCAAGCTTTTTTAATGAGGCTTGTGCCTCAGCATGGCTGAGGCCCGCCTCGCCTCACTAGCATGAGGCGTACGGCTCACCCAATTTATATATATATTTTATAAAACTTACCTAATCCTACACTAAAGCACTGAACAAATTAGCCTTCATGCCCCCCCAAGCCGCAACAACTTCCTCTTAACCGCCTTGACCTCTAGCCCACTGCTTTTGCCGTAGCCACCAGCGGGAATCACTTGAACCGCGCACCACCACCACTTTCTCTAAAAATTTTGGAGTATTATTCTCATTCTTATGTTAATGAAAAATATTTATAAAAGAGAATGATGATTGAAATAAATGAAGCAAAAATAGATTGAGAGGCATTGAACTCCATAGGATGAGGCAGCAAAGAGATTAATTTGTTATGATGACAACTCAAATAAAGACCCCAGTGATAACAGTGTAGATGATTTTTGAGTTGTTGCTAATTATGTTAGTTTTTTTTAAGAATTAAATGTGGATAAATAGGGAACTAAGAAAGAATGTATTTATAGTTGAACTTGATGTTATATGATACTTATATGTAATTCCTATATTTCATGTTATTTTGCTTTTGTAATATTGCATTGCAATTCTATTTCACGTAATTTATCACTTTTCATTTTACATATTGTGCAATTTTTAATTTCATTTGTATGCCAATTTGTCACTTCATAGTTCAGTAGAAAGTTAATGTCATTATTTTACATATTATTTGGGTATTATATAAAAAATCACTTTTAACCTTTATTTTTTACTTTATGCAATTTTTGAATTTTCAGGCTTACGCCTCAAAACGCCTTAAGACTTACGCCTCGCCTCATAAATGAAAAACGCCTCAATACCCAATTACGCAATTTAAACCTTGATTTCGTTTACTAAACTTGATCCATATAAGGTAATGATATTTCAACAAATCTAATGATATGTTTATTAACAATAATTTTTTAACTATTCAAAATAAATAAATAAAAATATTTAAATGATATAAACAATGTAATACTGTAGAATACTTAAAAAATCAATAATATTTTTGGGAGATTGAGTGACTAGCTAGAGACCGATAGAGAGGGGTGGGGTAATGTGATGGAGTATGAAGATGAGGCATTGAGAAGCATTTTTAAGAAAAAAATTGAGCCCGAAGTTACTAGCGCCAACAACAAGAACTAGTAAAAAGTATATAGGAATTAGCCCGGGAGTGAGCATGAAAAGAATCACCAAAAAGCTACTAACTTTTGTGGGAGAGAGCTAGGAGCTAATAAGCAACGACTCAATGGTTACAAGTAATAAGAAGGAGAAGCAAACCATCATTCCTACTTCTTGTGGCATATGCTAAATCAAGTCATAACATCTGAACTAGTATTTTATTCTTAACTGGATTTGAGTGCACAACAATACGTTGCTACAAGACGAAGTGTGCAACATGTGTGCGTCATTGTGAGCTTGTGCTTCCCAAGAAAGCCATGCAAAGGTCCAGTGCATCACTGTGCTTTACTTCTAAAGAATGCTTTTAAACAGTACCGATTTAGAAACTGTCAGAAATATAATTGAGGGCTTACATTCTAGCGAAGTTCAGACATCGTTGCAGCGGATATTTACAAGTGGATTCTTAGTGGTGGAAGTACATATATATGATCTTTTAGATGCAAAATGTCTTTGATGATCCACATTCTAACATTATCCATTTGATGCCATAAATATTGATTGGTTGGATACAAATCAGAAACTTTCTTGGTCCCCTGGGGTGATCTTTGGTGTTTGTTGATGGAGACTGAAGAAATTCTGCTTAAATACTTTTGGGATAACTTCATTGCACACCTTGCAGCTTATCTCTTTGTGCTCACCTATTTCCTGCTCTTCTGTAAACAGAGACATATGTAGAGTAGGCAATATATTTGGATTGTAATTAAGCTAGTATCAAAATCAACAGTAACCCATTAGGAGTGCTAAAAGTTTTTTTAGTGCGTTTCTTCTTTGTGGCTCATCGGAAAACATTTTTAGGTTGTGTTGAAAACAGATAAAGGAAGTCTTTATAGTGCATGTAAACCCTCTCCATGGCTTCATGATCATGGAGAACACAAAGGCGGAGTGGCTCTTCATTCTAATGAAGTAGCAATAACTTTATTTCATACACTGCAACACATCTTTCTCAAACCAAGAATGGTTCCTAGTATTTTAAGTTTTTGTCCAATTAACTCAAGTTGGTCTTAG